ATCCCAGTGCTGGACTCAATCTTTCCTGTCCCCATCATTACCCCATAACTACCAGTCTCAGTAGGCTCCATCCCTAGCTCCTCCGCCACCTGGGTGGATATGAAATTGTGGGTTGCCCCACTGTCAATCAGAACCACAACCTCTCTCCCCCGAATCTCCCCCTTCACCTTCATTGTATGGCTAGGAGTGAATCCCATCACAGAATTGAGGGAGACTTCGGCTACCTCCAACTGTGGATCAATCTGCTCCTCATCAGAATCATCACCCTCTTCAGGCGCCTCGTCTATATAGACGGTGAGAGCCCGAAGAGCGCGATCCTTGCATCTATGCCCTGGAACAAACTTCTCCTCACATCTGAAACAAAGGCCCTTGGCCCTCTTCTCCTGCATCTCCTCCTCAGTCAATTTCTTGAAGCTTCCTGCAGTTCTAGTCACTCCGCTCTTCTCCTTTCCACTCTCTCTAGGGACACTAGGGCTTGGCCCTTTTGGAGCCAAGTAAGTGGTAGTGGTCCTGGTGGGACCTCCTGAGTGGTTGTTCCTCCAACTTCGTGCGTTGGTCTTCTGGTTCTCCACCAGCTGAGCCAACTCCATTGCCTCCCTCAGGTCTCTCGGTCTCATGACCTTCACAGCATCTCTAATTTCTGGCTTGAGCCCCTTCATGAAGTTTCCCCCCAACGTGCTGTTCGATAAGCCCTCCATGTCTCCCACCAGACTCTCAAATTTCTTTCTGTATTCCTCCACTGTTCCCTCCTGAGTGAGGGCATAGAACTGCTCGGAGATCTCCCATGGGCTGCTCCCCCTGAATCTCTCCCTGATAGCTTCCTTGAAGTCCCTCCAAGTCCTCACCGGATCCCACTTATCCATGTATTTGAACCATGCAAAAGCTGCCCCTTCTAAGCACATGCTAGCCGCCATCAATCTCTCCTCCTCCATCAGGCCATTCACTGCAAAATACCTCTCCACCTTGTGGATCCACTCATCCACATTTCCCTCCTCGAACACTGGCATTTTCAGCTTTCTGGCCCTCGTGTCCACCCCGTATGCCCTATTCCCCCCATGGCCTCCTCTGTCCCAGGCAATGGGATCTTCCCAAGTTCCTCTCTCTCCATATCGGGGCTCATCATCCCTCCTCGGCCGTCGATAGCCATCTTCCCCTCGTGCCCCGCCATGGTGGTTATGGATCCCCCATGGCCGGTCCACTGGGTCGGGCCTCCGACGACGCCAATCATCCTCTCCTTCTTCCCGCCTGATGGACTCCCGATGCAGCATTCTTCCGTTGCTACCAAGCAGTTCCACCTCATCTTCCCCTTCCAGATTTGCCTTCTCCTTACCCTTGCTCCCACTACCTTCTCCTCTTTCCTCCGCTGGCACAGCTCTTGCTTGCCCTTCCAACAACTTTTTCATCATCTCCTCCAATGCCATGAATTTTCCTTCCATATTCTCACTCAACGTCGCCATCTTCTCCTCCAGATCCGCCTTAAATTGACCCACTTCGGTCTCCAAGACTTCTACACGTTTAGATGCCATGGGAACCACGAAATGGTCTCCGGATCTCTTCCGAAAAGCAAAAATCTGCAGCGAGACAGTGGAAAACAGCCCCCCACCGTCCGGATCTTCGCTCTGATACCAATTTGATAGGAAACACTTGGATTTCCGAGTGTTTCTCACCAACACCCAGCAGATCTAGGAGAAAAACTGCTGTCCACAGCAGAAAATCAGCCCAAAAACAGTGAAATCTGAGAGAAATAGGGAGAAATCCTTGGAAAACAATAGAAACGATTGTATTCCACTAGTAGACAAACAAAACCAAAGCAAGATACAATGTTCTTCAATTTCGAGAGGAAGAACAACTCTCCAACAATCTCCGGCAACGCCAAGAGCCCAAGCAAGAAAACCTAGAAGACAAAACTCATTCAAAATCAAGATGAAACCCTAATCCCCTCATAACTCCCTATTAATACAATCTAATTCAAATTAAAAGCAAAAGGACTACTCTACCCTTCCTTCTCCCTCCAAAAACACTTAACCCATATTTGAATTGCAAGTGGACCCCACTCCCTGGCTCCCTCTCTCTTCCGCCCGGCTCTGTGTCCGCCGTCTGTAGAACTGGACCGGCTGGGCCGGTCCAAGCTGGACCGGCATAACAGATGATAAAGCAATTCACCTAATTAACACACATAAATGGGTAAGTGTACGTGTGAGATGTGTAAATAATTTGATGAAACAGTTCTCACAATGATAATACATATACTATTTCATCAGATTAAAGCATTGATTCACCCAAAGAAAACATAGAGTGAGAGTATACTCAAATGAGAAGGTTTAACCAATCAAACAAAGAAAATAAGTAAAAACCAAGTTGAATGTACTGCCACCAAAAATCAAAGACGTTGACCATAGAGTATCGTTGATGTTGACTTAGGCCTTGTTTATTTCAGCGTTTTTTTTTCTTTTTCCGTTTAGAAATGGCGAAATTATTTTTTTGTCGTTGTTTGGATGAGACGTTTTTATAAAAATATTTTTTTAGGGAACTTCATTTTTTTATTATTTTGAGAAGCTTTTTGATATTAGCTTCTCGGTTAGAAAATTTCATTCCCTTAACCATTATTTCTAAAGCTATGTTTTACAAAAGGAGAGGAAGAACCAAACGAAGCATTAGTTTACCGGATGGAAAATTGATATAACCACCAAACAAAATTGATAAAATGATCAAGAAAAAGAAGCAAAGTTCTTGTAGGCGATGATGTCAATTCCATTAATCAACTATATATATTCTACCATCCTCTCAATCTCCTCTGCTTCTCACCACTTCTATGCACCTTTAATGAATGACAAATAAGTATTGGACTCCAAGTCTCCACGTCTTTGCAGTCACTGCATGCTAGCCTCCCTAAATAAAATAAAGGATAATTAGGGTTTTATAAATAGAATTGAAGATAAGAATATGAAGGCTTTTTTTTTTTTTTTTTTTTTTTTTTTTTTAATTTTAGGATTTATTCTTGGTGACATCATGAACCGTTTTTTTAAAAATAGTATAGCTATTTTAAAAAGCTATAATCTAGTTATAGAGCTCACCGAACTATAACCATTAATTAATAATTTAAATTTATACTAATTCAAGTCTTTAAGCTGGATGCCAAGTAGATTTGAGAAATTAAAAATGGGCTACACAAACTAACAACCAAATGCTTTCCAATATCGAAATCAAAGACGATTGCAATTAACATGATTAGCAGGATATGACAAATCTATATTGCATGAATACTACTAATAAACAACCAACTCTTAAGTCCTCCTACGCTGATATATAAGACTATCCAAACTAAACATCATTTTGTTGAGGTCTACAATTGAAGTTATGGGTGTCTTCAGGGAAGAAACCGAAGATGAGCATGGGAGGTAGAGGAAGAAGAATGACGAGAAGAAAAGTAAGTAGTAGTAGTAGCAGAGAGAGTGAGGGAACATTTTTTATATTACATTAGTCTTGAAAATAATTTCCAAGGTTAATTATACTCATTCCCATACATGATAACTTCCTCATCATTGCTCCAAGCTTAGCTTAACATGCATCGTATTACTCTAACAACCTTAGCCAACCCAACTAAAGGACTCTTGACACTTGTTTATTTTCACTTGTTTATAAAATAACAACTTAAAAAAATGGCATTCTCATATTGTTCACTCATAAAATGCCATGCTTAACCTTTCTCCAAGTAGTAATTCGGTTTGGTTGGTGTATGAATTTCCGACTATAATCGCCAATGATGTGAACCCTCTGTTGCCATCTTGTCAATAGGGCTTGTTGTGTAGTCATATCAATACCGACTTCTCTTTGATGAATGATCTTGTCCGCAAGCTCCAAATTAGGAGAAGAAATGCTCAATTCCTCGACCAAAATCATGGTTACATCTTTGGGTGGGAGGTCCTGTACTCCTGTCCATTGGATTATATGTAGGCATTGGAGGTTCTAGTTAAAAAAAGATTTGTTGTGATTTGACGCTAGTTGCTAGTTGAATAAAAGGGATGGTTCAACCATGCATTTGGGGAAGCTCACACAGCCTTAGGGTGTGTCCTTGGTAAATGGTTTAAGAAGGTAAATCTGAAAAGAAGTGATGGATTTGTGAGTGATTGGTAATTTTATATGATAAGTGATTAGGCCAATGGGTTCTAGTACTTGGAATGAGCCAAAGTAGCGGTGGCTCAACTTAGGTACTGATGGTCGTGAAGCAAAAATTGCCTGTGGGGTTGTAATTTGACAAGAGCAAATGAGCCAATGTCCAGGTTAAGATCCTAATGATGTTTATGCGCTTAGTCTTCATTTGCTATTGACTCTGGCACCAGTGTCTGAGGACATTTTGGAGAGTTCGATCACGTTGTTGGAGCTAGGTATCGATATCTTTGACTTTGGAGATTAAAATTAAAATTTTCAAATTTTTTAAAAAATTTTACTTTTAATATATACAATATAATGAAAATAATTTAAAAATGTTAAAATATACTATATAATACTAATTTAAAATTAATTTTTAATTATATTTAAGAAAATCGAGCAGCTCGATGAGCTTATGAGTTGAGCTAGGCTTAACTGGATTGTAGGCTTGAGTTCGAACTTGTGGCTCAAGAAGCTCAACTTGTGAGATTGTTAAGAAGCCAAGTTTAAGCTGGCTCGGCTCACACCTCTATATAGCCAACCATATAGATCTTGGAAATGGGACATGTCGAGTAAAGTGTGAAAGGATGTATTATATAAGTACTCTATCAAATGTAAAAATTTTGATCAAATTGTTTGGTTTGTGGCATAGTAAGTATTGTTCAAGCCCCCGATTAGTTATCTCAATTTGACCATCTTTATGCGGATGATGAGTTAGTATTGAAAGGGAAGTGTCCAGATCTTTAAAAAGTGCTTGTCAAAAAAGGCTTATAAAAATTTTAATCGGTCGGAAATAATCTTCTTTGGCGTATTGTGCAGGTAACAAATGTTAGTGATGAATCTAATACATACAGAACTGGCAGTAAAGTGGATGTTAATGCAATGAAATGTGCATATTTGGTTAGGAGGGTGGATTTGCCAGTTGATGATAGTAATTATACAATGAATTCCATTGCAATGTCTTCTTAGGAGGCCATTGGTTTTGGTAGAGGTTGTAGAAATCTGGTGGGAGCCATTAGTTGATAGTTGGTAGCTTTTCAGATGTGGCAAATTTTGACAAATTGGTAAGCAATTGCATTGAGGTTCGGCCAAGAAAATTATTCATGAATCCGTTTGATTGTTTTAGCACAAGCCACTATGATCACCAATAATGTTGGAATGGTATAGTTTAGGCAAGGGTTGTTTGAGTCCTTAAGTAGATGCTAGGATGATTTGCATTTTTTTTAAAATTAGGCCATTATGTAAAGTGTGATTGGGGCAGTCGCACGGGTTTGCCTGAAAGTGGTTTTTCAGGATCATTGATGTTTTATGTTGTAATTGTTGGAGCATTTCAATAATACGTTCAATAGAGCACTGGCAAAATTACATGTGATGGCAATTAATCGTGATTACTTGAGACATGAGTTCTTAGATGTTTTTTTTTATCATATTTTATCATATGGATGATGAATTTAGAACCTACTAAATATTGTCACCACTTAGCCACGGATTTTGTGATGGCAAACATCTCTTGCATGTAAGTTGATACCTAGTGCATTTTGGCATTCAATTTCTTGTTTTAGAAGGCAACTGATTTGCTATTTTGATGAAAGGATTGTGTTGATTCCAACTCCGGAAGTGTCAGTGTTGATGGAGTGGAGATATTGGGTAACTACAAATAACGAGGTTTAGTTAGCTTAGGTTTCAGTAGATTGAATGCTTGTTGAGTAGTATCTTCCAATAGAAGGCACTCGATTGTAGTAGTGCAATTAATAGTCTTGTGATGCATTCAAAATTTCGGATGAGTTTACAGTAATATTCATCCAAACTAAGAAAAATCCAACTCCGATTTCAGCAAGCTTATAGTCAAATTGAACATCTCAAGGAGACGAATCCAACGACACCAAGTTCGATCCAATCCGAGCCCAAATGAGTCCAAATCAAAGAACCAAAGACTATTTGAAAGCTTTAAAGCATTAATTGGAGGCCAAATGATATCCAAATATGAGATGCTTATGGTCGAATCGAGTGGCTTGACAAGAAGAATCCAACGAGCCCAAAATCACTCAATTCTGATATCTCTAAGGCATTAAAATGCTTGATAAATGCTCCATGATCAAAGGGATCACTATGAGTCATCCGATGTAACACTCCCAATATGTCATTGATATTTTCTATATTTACTAGGAATGCCTCTCAAAAAATTATAAATAGATCTCTCATTATTCACATGAGGGGGGAATGGAGAAGAGAAAAACTGAGCTCTCTTGCTAGCACCACCAACTGCTGAATCTCTTCCCGACCACCGACAATCGCCATATTTCTGCCCATTTGTTGGTTGCTGTCGGATCTTTTCCCAACAAACAAACATTAAACATTGTCAGACATTTGTTGATTATCATTGAATCTCTAACATCGCCAGATATTTGTGGAATATTCTCTATTATTCAATCTACATAAAGGATACCCATCTGAAGCTTGGTTCATTTTCCAATTCATTGTATTCTCATTATCCTCGATTTAAAGGACGAGTTAAATTCTATAATCTATTCAAATATTAGTTGAATATTTTCAACTGGGCAAGGCCCCGTGTTTTTTTCCCTTTCAGGATTTCCACGTAAAAATTCTGGTGTTTCTTTATTATATGTTCGTGTTCTGAATTTTTGTACATTTTAAAGATGTAAGATATTTTTACTCTACCACCGTGAATTTCTCCACTGGCAACAATACATATGAAGCATTAGGATTTTTTTTAAATTTAAATGTTAGGATTTATTCTTGGTGAAATCACATATGAACCAATAACATATTTCTTGTAGATTTATTTAAATTATAAGTTGAACAAAGAGAGGTAGTTATCTTTTTTAGTTGAAAGGCTGATATTCTTTATTGGTGGAATATCTATTCCTTTTTAACAGTAATATGGCTTAATTATTCTTTTGAAGATCTAGAAAAAAATTTTGAATAGTCTTCATTAGTTATTCTAGAATTTTCTTGGTAGTTACAACTCTTATTTCATCGATTTAACCTACTGTTTGTTTCCCTCTCGAGCAAACGATTCATGATTTCTAATGGTGATTCTATTCAGATCTCAAGTGATGAGGCCATTGAAACCGCAAAGCTTCTTGCATTGAAGGAGGGGTTGCTGGTGAGGGTTCATCATCTAAAAAAAAAAATCATTTTTTTTTCCTGAACAACGTGCATTAAGACTTCCTTGTATAATATGATTCTGCTTCCTGACTAATCATTAGAGAACTTCCCTTACAGGTTGGAATATCATCTGGAGCTGCTGCTGCTGCTGCTATTAAGATTGCACAGAGGCCAGAGAATGAAGGAAAACTGATTGTTGTAAGTTCTAATTCCCTTCTCAGATTTCTTATTGTTTATGGGTATTATTTTCTCCCACCACATTAGTCTTTTCAACATTCATCATATAGAACAAGTTCTTTGGTTACACTGCTATTCTTTTTTGGAACTCCTTAATTTTTTTTATAGAAGCACTAAGTTCAAATTTTTTTCTAAACTGCATGAAACTACTTCAATTTCGCACAGGAAACTATGTCAATATTTTTATGCCATTCTCTGAAATTATGACTTTTTAGGCAATTGCCTTCCCTAAAAGTTTTAAAATACTATGATTTTTAGGCAATTGCCCCAACATAATTAAACACATTGAGTAGAGATGTTATTGTTAGGGAACGATGAACCAAATATAAAGAGAAATAGTAAAGATAATCCAAAAATATCCTTACAACCAAAATAATTAAACACAGATCGAACCCCGCCAGGGGGCACTGCTCCCTCAGACCCCCAAAATATCTGCGAAGCATACAACGATGAACAAATAGGGATCGAGAGGCAGCGCCCTCGGAACAAATTTTGTTTGTACAGATATTTATGAAAAAAAAAAAACTCAACATTTTTACTTAACCTGAAAAGAGTGCTAGATATTTAACGATCCATTTTCAAATGTAAAATTAGGCTCATTTCTTCGTTATTTTCCGTGACTTTAAAACAAAAGTATGATACATTTGTGAATGTAGGTGATTTTCCCGAGCTTTGGTGAGCGTTACCTGTCCTCCGTGCTCTTCCAGTCTATAAAGAAAGACGCTGAGAGCATGATTTTTGAGCCTTGAATGTGATTTCTTTACTTAGCTCCTACAGTTGAGAACCATTCCAGATATACAGTTATGGCAAAATCTGCTTGCATGCTGCTCTGCTTTATAATTATTAGAAGAATAATTGCATGCGAAATACTCTATATGTCTTCATCTCCTACTTCTAATGATGTCTGCAACTTGTTTTTTTTTTAAGTTTGTTTTCATACTTTTAGACTGTTACTTCTTCTGTTTTGATTAAGTGGCTAACTTGGTCTACAAGTTAATGGCCTTGTAGCTCCCTTTGCTTCTCTCTTGAAGTCTGAAGATATTATATTTGATGCCTTTTTACACCTACAATCTCAATTAGGCCTGTGAAAAACACTCTTTTTTTAGCTTGTTAAGTTCTTATATTTAAGCTTCGTTTGGGGTGGCTTTTCTGTTGTTTCTTAAAACAATATTCTAGTATAAATTTTAATTTTTATACTAAAAAGTTGTTTTAAGAAACAGGAAGAAATAAATCTCAAATAAGATCTTAGGCTTCGTTTGGGATAACTTTCTTGCTGCTTTCTAAAGTAACTTTTTAGTATAAAATTTTCAAAAAAATTATGTCAAATGAAGTCTTAGCAAGAAAGCAAAACAGAGATAGCACAAAAACATATAAATGATGACATGTGTTTATGTAATTTTTATATGATTTTAAGGTAGACTTCATATTTTTGAATAGCTCGTATTTGACTCGATAAGTTAACTATTAACAAGTCAAATACATTTAAAAAAATTTTACTCATTTGCGTGATATGCTGAATTGAACAATATTTTGAGCTCAGTCAAAGTCGGCTCATATGCACCCTTTTATCTCCATACATGCGTTTAAGAGTTTTTCTAAGACAAAGAGGACATTGTTCTTATTTTTCTGTTAGAAGCTTGTTTATAAGCTAGGTATAAATGAGTCGAGTCGAGTCAAATTTTGGCACTATCGAGTTCAGTTCGTTAGTTGGAAAGCGACCTCGAACTTGAGCTCGAGTCAAGCTTGTCCTACTATAAACAAGTTCGTGCCGGCTTGCGAGTCTTGGTAGGATTTTTTTAATATTATTATTAATTATTTTAAATGTTTAAATATCTAAATTTTTATTAAAAATTTTAATCCTTCATTATTAATTTTAACAAAAATTATTTTTTAGAAGTTGATATTCAATAAAGATGGATGAGATATTTTTGCTAATTTTTTTAATGATGAATGTGAAAATACAATTAACTTTAGTGACCTTAGCACTCTAAATAAAAATAAAGAATTTTGTTTTTATCGACGTATTAGAAAAATTTAAGTTAGAAAGTCTTTAGAGAAAAAGAAGTGTGGAAATGTTATTGAGCTTGATGATATTTTAATATATGTGTGGAAATGCTTAAGAGATGAAGGAATTTCTTAGCTTATTAAACTTTTTAATATTGTTTTGAAGATTAAAAAGATGTCAGATGAGTGGAGAATGAGTGTGTTAATTTTTATTTTTAAGAATAAATGTGATGCACGAGATTGTGAGAATTATAGAAGAATTAAATAAATGTATCATACTTTAAAATTATGGGAGCAAGTAATGGAGCGTAGGCTTCAGCATGATACTAATGTTTCTCAAAACCAATTTGTATTTATGTTGTGTAGGTCTACTATGGAAGTCATACATTTATTGAGAAGTTTGATGGAGATATATAGAGAGAATATGGACATACATATGATATTTATTGATTTAGAGAAAACATATGATAAAGTTCCAAGAGAAGTGCTACGAAGAGTTCTTGAAAGTAAAGAAGTTAATAACGCTTATATTCAAATCATTAAAGATATGTTTGCATGAGCTATTACTTGTGTTCGAACACAAGGTGGTTTGACCAAGTATTCTCCTATTTCGATTGGATTACATCAAGGATTAGCCTTAAGCCCATATCTTTTTGCTTTAGTCATGAATGTTCTCACTAGACATTTGCAAGAGAATGTACCTTGGTGTATGCTTTTTGCTTATGATACTTCTTCTAAATTTTTATGAATAATAACATATTAATATTTGATATTCTTCTTATTGATAAGACTAGAGAGGGAGTTGAAGGTAAACTTAGAATATGGAGGTCAACCTTAGAGTCTAAAGGTTTTCACCTGAGTAGATCTAAATCTAAATATATAGAGTGTAATTTTAGTAATAATAGACCTAGTGAGGAGATTGTGACTTTGGGCGAGCAAGTCATTAATAAGAGTACACGTTTTAGATAGCTTGGATCTATTGTTCATAGTGATGGTGAAATAGATGAAGATATTGGGAAAAATAGATGAGGATATTATCAGCATAATTCAATTTGAAATGTTGAAGTGGAGGAATGCATCGGGCTTATTGTATGATAGAACAGTCCCCCTCAAATTAAGTGAAATTTCTATAAGATGGTGGTGAGTCCTGCAATGCTTCATGGTGTCGAATGTTGGCCATTAAAAGAGAAGCATAATACTAAGTTAAGTGTTGTAGAGATGAGAATGCTTAGGTGGATGAGTGGCTTTACCCTTAGAGATAGAATATAAAATGAGCATATACGTGAAAAAGTTGGAGTAGCGCCAGTGGAAGATAAGATTATAGAGAGTCAACTTAGATGGTTTGGTCACATAAAACGGCGGCCTTCCAATGACTCGGTTTGACTCGGTTATGAAAGTAGACATTAGATTTGACTTATATTAAGAAAGTTAGAGGTAGACCTAAAAAGACTTGTTAGAAATGATCTTTTTTTATTAGATTTAAACAAGAATTTAACTTTTAATATGACACAATGGAGAAAAAGGATTCATGTAGTTGATCTCACGTAGTGGGATAAAGGCTTGATGTTGTTGTTATTGTTTTGTTATTAAATATTTTAAACATTTATTATTATTAATTTTTATATTTAAATTTAATAAATAAAATAAAATTATTTATATATATATATATATATATATATATAACAAAGCTCTCCTGTGTAATTGTGGGTTTCAGCATGTATTCATTCATAAATTACAATGTTTTTATTCAATCAAATTAAAATGATTAGTGGGAGATTGGTATTTACATTTATTTTTTTTAAGTGAATGATTTTTATTATAGAGATAACCTTATCTTAAATGAATTAGATAGTTGAAAAATTGCAACTCAGTGATTTTATAACTGGTTATTCATAATTTTTTATCTCAGAATTAATATAATTCACTCAATCTTATTTGTAATAATATATGAATAAAAAAATTAAAATTTAACATATTCACTTGCTATTTTTAATATTTCCATAAATGAATGTTAATAAATTAAAATAACATTTTTTATGCTATACATTTAGAAATTTTGCTTGATAAATTTCTCAAAATTGCATTTTAACAATACAAATGATTTTTACTGTGCATACAATATTAAAAAAAAATTCACCTGATAATGTAGAAAAACTATCAAATATATAATAAAGTCATCATGAAATGAATATTTGATCGAGCTCAACAAATTTTTTGTTAAATAATAAAAAAGTATATTCATGCATATATATAAATGAACGAATGAACAAGTCAATATTCAAATTTGTACAGCTTTATAAATAAAGAAGCATAAAATTAAATTCTATATGAATGAGATTGGATTGTCCATCAAGCACACAAGTTCACTTATAATCACAATAACTCTTAAAGCTTCGAATCCAATTCCTCTTAGTTGATAGTCAAAACTCTCAACCAACAGATCAAGATATCATAAACCTCAAACAAAGCAAATTTCCATTTCTCGAAATATTGTGTTAGATAAAAACTATTTTCATATAAAAAGAAGCAGACAAAATCACAGATAGATGGGCTCAATCCTCGCTCACAAAAATTGAGTTAGTTCCCTTTTTAAAATGAAATGAACAGAATTTCTGCTCCAACTAAAGAAATTAAAAGAGTTATTATAGATTTTCCATGAGAAAGAAAAACAGTTAACAGGGACTGAATCACAAAGCTTAATTTAATACAACAAAAACATTCAAAATAATGTTTCTCAACAACACAGCAGAAAAATAAAACAAGAAGTTCCGGATATTTCACTTGAATACTCAAAATAAACAAGAACAGAAAGCTCCTGAAAGCACAAAAATGCCTCCATCATAAAGAGTAGACAGACATATAAGGGAAAGCTTATCGCTTCTTGGAGACCCCAACCGTCTTCCCCCTCCTTCCAGTTGTCTTGGTGTGCTGCCCACGAACCCGAAGACCCCAGTAGTGGCGCAAACCACGATGATTCCTAGATTTCATGTGTTGGAAATGGTTATGGAAAATAAAAATACAAAAGCCATATTAACATAATCAATTCCAAGGGGGTACATGCCGAGCAGATTGGAAATACTATAAAGATCAAAAAGGAAAAAGGCGGGGCCTATGCACAGGCAAATTATTAGGTCCGGTCACCTGACAAAGAGATATATCCGGATTTTTTTTGTCTACAGTAAAAAAGCACAGTTACTGTAGCAGCTGCGCTTTGATTGTGCTTTTACTGTAGATAGAGAGAAATCCAGATGTATCTCTGTATCAGGTGACCAGACTTAATAATTTTCCCCATGCACGAGGGTTGCACGAGGGTTGTTTGAGATCACAAATAGTAGAATGCATTGAACTGTCCCGGATAAATGAATAAGAATTACCAAAATTTAAGCCTTAAAAAAACTGTGGTCACATGCCCAACTAAATGAACAAGGGAAGAAACTAACACACCAAGAAAAGTAAAGACTCTTAGGAATGTTTACAAGTGAGATTTACAAAAGGAAAACTTATTAACATAAATAACTAGTAATGGTTTGATGATTAGTATGGTAACTTAAGCTAAATAGATCTTAACAAGTCTAATTAATGCTAAAGCAAACTAATTGAAGATTAACAAAAGTTCATTAGACAAGTGCATATATGTCTTCAAGGTCGCATTCACCAAATCTGACTGGATTTGATAAATCCAACCTAGATCCATATTTATAAAACTTCACACATAGAAGTCCTCTAAAAATCATTTGGCAGGGTTTTCGGACTAAACTTCCAACTAAAATTCCAAAAAAGGTTGCTCGGATATGCATTGTACAGAAATTAAAGAACTAATTCCAAAATAGACTAATTAAAAACTAATCAATCCAAATAAAGTCCAATTAGCTAAGTTAGCATCCTATTCATTAATTATTTCTATTTAATTTATCAACTAACTGGAATGTATTTATCCCAAAAAAAACCCTTCAAGCTCAAATTACCAAATTTAGCAGCTTAATCATTGTTTAGGAACTAACAAGTTAGATTAATATTTAAGTTTATTACCACTATCAAATAAGCCAACTCTAAAGCTAATTGCTTACTAGTTAAACTGTTTAGACACGAATTAGCATGATTAAAGCATACTTCACCGATAATTAAATCAACATACTAATAATTAATTTAAAACAAAGTCTTATGGTTTTATTAACTAATATGTATTAATAAGCACAATTACATATCCAATACTAAACTGCTCTAATTAAGCACTAATTAGCATAATTGAAGCTGCCAAAAGTTGATATCCTAATCAGTAATATTTACCGACTACTTACATAACTAAATTAATAATTAATTTGTTAATATAGATAGTGTTAAGCAAGGGCCCATTATGAAATATTGCATCGTAGGTCTCCTTCCTATGATGCACGGACACTCCGTTTTAAGAGGCAGTGCAGTGTCGGACACGTGTCGGACACGGACACGCGCCTGACACGCCCGACACGGCGGGGACACGTGTCCGACACGTTTTGACCGTGTCCAGACTGTTTTTAAAAAAAATTAAGTCGGACACGCGTGTTTCATAACTTAAAAAAAAAATGAAAAATAGATAAGCACCGGTTAGAGTGAAAGCACCGCAGTCTTCCCGAGTCCGCCCTAATCCCGCTTTTGCATTCATTCGAGCGAAGGCACCGCAGACTTCATGCGACTCGCGAGCAGCCGCACCCGCTCACCATCGCCTCCAGTTTCCGACCGCACTCTCGCCTCCAGTTTCCGCATCGTCGCCTCCAGTTTCCGCATCATCGCGTGCTGCCGAGCGAACCATCGGCCGGAAAAAAATTTCTGTAAGTTAGATTTCGAATATTTTTTGCCATTCTTCATTTCTCTCATTTTTTTCTCATTTATCATGTGGATTTGTGTTCACGAGAGTATGTTATTTTTTTCTTAAATTACTTGGTTGTTTTAGGTTTTTTTTTTTGCTTTTGATTTTGGTTGACAAGAACAAAAGAATGGTAGAGAGTTTGCAACTTGCAACCCTATTCTATTTGTTTTTACCTAAATCTCCACTTTTAGTGTTTTGTGAGGCCAAACAATGATGTTTTCAGTTTTTACCTAAATCTTTGTTTTTACTTTTTACCTAAATCTTCATTTACTGTTTGTGAATTTCTATGTCCTAAATACACCTGTGGTTGATCAAGGTTTTGCAATGCCTCAGCTTGGATAGTTTTTGAATGTATAAAAATGCTCATTTCTTTCTGAAACATGTAGATTAGCTCATCATTGTAGGAAACAAGCATTTCACTCTTATTAGAATAAGCCCTGTAATATGAACGTTGGTAGAGCCAATCAGATGGCGAGGGCGAAGTTGTTAACAGGTTGGTCTAAACCCTTTCTTTGTTTTTACATTATCATTGTACTAAACATCTTTATGTTATAAGCTAAACAAGTTATCATGACTTTGATTTAATATTGTTTGCTATTTTTAATATAATATTACCTTAATTTTTATATATTTTATTAAAAATTATTATGCCGTGTCCACGCCGCACCCGTGTCCTATATTTTTAAAAAATGCCGTGTCCCATGTCCATGTCGTGTCGTGTCCGTGTCGCCGTGTCTGTGTCGGTGCATCATTGTCTCCTTAATGCTAATCCCTCCATGCATGCCTAGTCGTCTCTCCCCTTCTTCCATTAGCAAGAGCGCCATCTATGAGCAATCAAAGATCATGTGAGCATTCTTCTCTACAATTGTAGGTCACATGAGGCTTGTATGAGTGATTTTAATTTCAACAAGCATCATGTTCTTCTCTAAAATAAAATTTCACAATAGCCTTCTTCAATCATTCTTCTTTGCAAGCCATTAACATGCTCTAACATCTTCTTCTTCACCATCCAAGTCCGGTCTACACACCATATAACTGCAAGTTTTTTTTCTGTACTCTTATATGTACCTTCTGGTTTGATAAAATAACAATATAAGAGCTCATTTAGTGCATTCCTTCCTACTCCTAATACATTTTTTGCATATGATACTATGCATCTTTTGGAATTTTTTTACATTTTATAAACAAAATTGATATTGACAAAATATGTGACAATTACAAATATTAACAAATGACAATTGTCACTTGTGATAAAATGCATCTTTTATTATTAATAATATTTATTTTTTCTTTTATCACTATTAAGTTTCTTTTATGACATATAAGCATATGAAATTATATTGCACCCAACGTTGCCTTCAATAGACAACACAAGAAATTATATATTTTATATTAATAATTTATTAAATATAACATAGTCTATAGTGTATTGTGCGATACGTTTTATAGTTGTCATATTATTATGTCCATTTTGTGTCATGTCCATACTTCATAAAACAAAATATTTAAACATTTCACAAGCTTCTCATAACAACTTCTAAACTACAACTGTTTCTACATAACCCAAGTAGAACGATTATATGATTATTCTTGAGTAGACCATAGTAGATATGCTTGCTACTTGGTATCATATACAAAAATAGTAGCATATAATTTTAACTGATGAATTAATACCAACTATGTTAAAAAAAACTAAACTGATTTGAATCTGTATAAAAATAAAACTTGCTTGGCCATTAATCAACAACAACTTTCATCCCATGCTATTTGAAAGCTGAATAGAAAACAGCGGGACCATATCCCTATATGACCAGTCAGATTTACAAACAGCAGAAAAATAAGTTAAATTTTTTGTTAATATTTAAAACCTTGCACACGAATATCTTGCAAAGGTAGGAGTTGACAAAGAATACAGGAAAAATTACATTGACGTGCCAAATTCAACGGATGTACTAACCTGATCTTCTTCAGGCGTTCCAAATCATCCCTGAGCTTCATATCCAAAGCATTAGAAACAACCTGAGAGTATCTCCCATCTTTGTAGTCCTTCTTCCTGTTCAGAAACCAATCCGGGATTTTGAACTGGCGGGGGTTTGCAACAATCGTCATCAGATTCTCAAGCTCAGCAGCTGAAAGCTCGCCAGCTCTAGAAAAACATTTATAGAATGCCATTAAAATCAGCAATCCAACTAGAATTAGCTAAAACACAAGAAAATATAATTTTAAAGAGATAAAAGCTGAACAACTCCAGTGGACATGTGCACAACAAATAAAACAAACACATAAGCAGATCATTTAAATGCATCAATTATTTACTATATGCCCATAATTTAATGGAAACAAAACACATAAGCAGAAATCCTGCCATAAAAAAGTTTATCAAGAAAAACATATAAGCATCAACAGCAGATTAGCAAAAACAATTGAAAGTAGTCAAGAACATATCACAATCAAAGATCCAATCCTACACCATCCTTCTTTCATCCAGGATAAAATTTAAGAAACCTGGGGTGCGAAGGACTACAGAAGATAAAGATACCTTTTGTTCATGTCGACATCAGCCTTCTTGCAAACGATGTTGGCGAAGCGTCGGCCGATACCTTTGATGGATGTAAGGGCGAACATAATCTTCTTCTTTCCATCGACATTCGTGTTCAGAACACGAAGAATATGCTGGAAATCCTCGTTCGCGATCAAAGACTACAGGCATAAACATAACGTAGAATGATCAAAACCCATGAATTCCAGACACGAATAAAAGCAGGAAACCCCTCCAAAGATCTCAAATAGAAGTAAGCACTCACCATGGCTTCTAGATTTCCTCTTTCAGCCTGTAGCTGGAATTTCTGTGTACTCTCCTCGCCGAACACGGCCGCTAGGGTTCTCGCTGCCGCGGGACTTGTGCTGTATAGGCGATTCTAACCCTCAATATTACTGTGATGGACGGTGTTGATGAATCCTCGTCTTAGTCGCACCACTTTTAAATGTTTAAACTATCATGAATTTATATGGAGTAAATTCATAAATTTTAAATTTATGATATATTTAAACTTTTATATTATTATTAAAAAATGGTTCCAATATAAGCTCCAATATTAGATTTCTTAAATAATAGAAATTAATGTGAACTTTATTATAGTAAAATTTATAATTTTTTTTTTTTATATAAAATCATCAAAATCATTGAAGCATATTGAAATTTTGTAGTTAGTTTTTGACATATCACTAAATGTCTATTTGGGACGATTATAGTTTTTTATAAGGGCAATTGTAAAACCGATGTGGGTTAAGAGTAAAAAAAAAAGTAGCCAAATAGGATTATAATTGTGATATGAAAAGTAAAGTAATAAGAAACTTATCTCAAAATAGACCTAACTGTAGATTCGATCCAAATCTACAACATCTTTATTTAGCATCTAGAGACTCTTAGAAACACTAGGACATTTATCTAATATATATCACCCTTAGTGGTATTTAGACTCCATCAGAGCCTATTTACTCATTGAATTTACGCGACTTCAATTATATAAGTAAAGGTTCGATTGACCTATAGTGAACGCTAGGCTAATTTTAAATTACTCGTGGCCCTAGTAATTTAGTTAGACGAACATAAGTAATTGTCTTGAGACGTGTGTACTCACCAATTTGATCAAACCATTTAGATTCTATTGACTAATAGGCCCACTAAGCTAGCTTATCCTAGCATAGTTTCCCTTAGACCTTCTTTAAGATCCCTGACATCCTCTGTGGTTGTAGATTTAAATTACTTTGATCTCTTACAGAGCCCTATATGGGGTCCTGGTTGGGTACCCACGCTCTGCGCTGGCAGGTTTTGCCCACCCACACCCACCTATGGTGACTTTCCGGATGTCACACCCACCCACTTTCCAAGCTTATTGAATGCAGTCTGCCATAGAATAATGGCCTTGAGATTTTTTGCCATTTTTTCTGACTGCAAACTTTTAAGCCACATATCAAAATTTATCATGGTCGTGACGCGGTTTAGTGTTGTGCACTGTGTAGTAAGGATTATTATAATATATTGCATGTACATGAAGATTAGTAATGTAAATTGGTTCTCCTCTGATGTTGAGTACCCACCCACAAAACTATGGGCGTTTCCATACCCACCCATGCCCATTGGTATGGGTGGGTACGTGGGTTGGTGTGGGTATGGGTATTCAATGCAGGGCTTTGATCTCTTAGTATGCTCAAAATCTAGATTCTTCGATCCTCTTAGACACCTAGATATCTTTAATGTTAATGGAACATAACACGATGAAACCGAGGGACATTAGAACATCTTGAGCCCAAGCTTAACCTTATCTTAGTTTGAGAGGGTGTTTGACTAACCTAATCTTTAGTGACCCTAATAACCACCCTAAAGCTATAGGCGGCGAAAAACACTTGGTCTTCTTTCTACTTTTATCCTTACAAAATTAACCTAGGACTTGCCAACTGGGCATGATTAAACTTATTATCCAATGTGCCTTTTACGATGTCAAATGTGCTTAATTAGACTCGTAACCCCTAAATTAGGTGTTTGTATTAGCTTAGCTTAACGCAAAAGAAACTTAATTGAGATGATAATAAAACTTCATTTTGGCTAATAATAAGTAGATCAATACCAAAGATAAACAAGTCATTAATGTCAAGACATAATTGCACCCAAACAAATTTTAGAATAGATAAATATTTCTATTTTGTTTATAGTCCCAAATACATATACAAAAGTTATTACCAAAGATACATTTCTATATTGTTTTTAAGAGTAGAAAATTTAACATTCCTTTATATCAATATTTATTAGTATAGCCATAAATTATTATTATTATTATTATTATGCAACCCCATTATTTTAATTATTACTAATTATCACTGTAGTTTGTTTGTATTGGACTATGAGAGCATTCCGCTAATTTGGGAGAATATTTCATTTATTATTTTTAATAAATGCTAAATAAGGTGCAAATTATGAAACATTCTCATTCCTTTTAGAGAAAAATAAATCAATTATAATTCATGTAATTATGTTCATTTTTTTATGTAAAATTTACTCAAGTATTACATAAAAAAATTTTTATTTATTTAAATTTTTAATTTATTACAAATAAATTATAATTTGAATTAAATTTAGAAAATAAGCATGAATTGTTTTCTTTTGCTATTTTTATTGCACATGATAATTAAATAGAAGTAAATTAATAGAGTACTAACTTTTACTCCATCATAAATTGAATTTAATCCTAATATTTGATAGCCACAAAAATTGGCTTGTTGAAAACTTGTAAATTAAAATTCAGGATCAACCAAACTGCGCTTTCAGTAAGCTTATTGTTAAATTGAACATCTTGAGAAGACGAACACAATAACGCTAAATACAGTTCTATATGAGTCCAAATAAGCCCAATTCAAAGGACCGAAACATTCATGGAAGCTTCAAAGCATTAGTTGGATAATCAAACAAAATCAAAAAATGACATGATTATAGTCGAACCAAGCGGCTTGATGAGACGAATCCAATGAGCCCAAGATTACGAATTCTGACATCATTAAAGAACTTAAATGCTTGATAAACACTATATAATCAAGGGAATCACTATGAGTCGTTCGATAAAACACTGTAAATCTACATTGGATCTTCTCCATATTTATTAAGAATGTCACTCCCAAAAATTTATAAATAGCCTCACATTCTTCATATGAAGGGAGAGAGCAAAGTGGAAAGAAGAGAAGAGCTCTAGAGCTTGAAGAATCCTCCGACAAATTCATGCCACCAGGCCGCCGCCTTGAACCTTTGGCCGGCCATCGTTGTTAGACCTCCATATGAAAGGCACTAACAAGCCTTCCTCCGACCACTATCACTCACCAACTACGGTCCCTCCGACCACTGTTGCTCGTCGACTATGAACCTTTAGATAATCGTAGTCTGCCACTATAGTCCCTCCGACCATTGACTGCAATCCGTCTGACCACCATCGTCTGTCTTACTATGATCCTTTTGACTTGCATTACCTGCTAACTATGATTCCTCCAACCACTATCACTCAACTATAATCATTTCAATCACCATCATCCAACTACGGCCCTACAAACAAGCCCACACTCTCTTAAGAACAAATGATATATTTTCCTCCAACTATATAATATACTCTATACAATGTATTTGTTATATTGAGTCAACATTCTCCTCAAAGAAAGGGTATTATTTATAATCAACCACCAATACTAGTGAAATTAGTTCAATTGGGCAATGTCTCATAGTTTTTCCTCACTTTTTTTTTTAGTTTCCATACAAAAATTATGGTGTATTTTACAATTACTACACTACACTGCTCTATTCAATGTGTTGAATCTACGTACAAGATAAGGACACTAAACTTTATATTTCTTTACCACTACAAATATTTCAGGACGCAATAATATTAAAATTAGTATATATAGTCATTTTAATACTTTATAACCAAATCTTTTTAGGTCTACCTTTCTTAACATAGATTGAAGCTTCGTTTGGGACGACTTTCTTAATGCTTCTTAAAACAGCATTCTAGTACAAAAAAAATTAAATTTTGTACTAAAAAGCTGTTTTAAGAAACAGTAAAAAAGCTATCCCAAATAAAGCTTGAATTTAATACATGTATTCTCCTAACCGGGTCTTCGGAAGGCCGACATTTTATTTCACCAAACTATCTAAAATGACTCTAATTTTGTCTGCCATTAGAGCCACTCCAACCTTTTCACATATTATTTGCAAAATTTAAAACAAAAATATTATTTGCAAAATTTAAATTAAATATTAATCACACAATCTAGTGAATAAACATCATTATTAGACTTCAAGAGGTTTTCTTAATATACATCACTAAAAATATACTAAAAAAACAACTTTCTACATACGAAATCTGTAAACAAATTGCAAAAAATCAATGATAATAATTTGAAATAAACAAATTGGAATGAGATTACTGTAACTATATTCAGCAACGAAGTGTCATCTCCTTCAGATAGCAGTTTCAAAATAGTCTCACCACTCAGAGTTCATTTTAACATACCTGCAATCTTCATCAAGACGGTCTCTTTACTCCAAGATTCTCTCTCCTCCTGAAAATATCAAAAAAATCAAAGAACTAAAAATGCAAAGATAACCTGGAACAAAAAACACAGGCTTCCAGCTCTTCGGACTAGAAAGATCAACATCAGTAGCCTTAGCAATCTCCAATATTCTTCCTGTAAGTCCAACTCCTATTATACCAGCTAAAGTTCCAGCAGTATTCGAAACTCCCATTACAATCCCCGCATGTCTTGGAGCTATATCCAAATGATTTACAGCAAATCCTGCTCTCCCTAAGGCCAAAAAACCCAATGAAATCGAAGAACAAAGCACAGTACCAGCAGAAGTTTTGAACAGAGGTAGAATCAATAAAGCAAGTGCAGAGATAAGAAAGCCAATAGTGTTCAGGAATTTGCGAGTCCATGCGACAGATAAGATCCTTCTAGTTATAAGACGATCAGCTATGACTCCACCTATGTTGGAAAATAAGAACATGTTGAGATAAGGCAGCATCTTTGATGATCCCATTTCCTGAAGGCTTAGTTGAAGGCCAAGTTCGAAGTAGGTTGGTAGCCAGTTCATCAAAACATATAATGCGTAATGAAAAGTGAAGTTGTTCACTACAATTGCCCACACTGGCATGCTAAAGATCATTTTTTTCCATGGGACCTTAGATGGATTTAACAAGCTCCCCTTATCTTTGGACTTTGTTAACGGTAGCCCCGTCGGCTTGAGGTGGTCGGAATGCGGCGGATCGCTGGCGAATTTGAACCAGAGGATAGACCAAGTGATGCCTAAAGCCGCTTCAACGAGAAATACAGATTGGGGACCTTGGTGTTTTACTAAACCTGGGAGTAAAAGCATGCCAGCAGCAGCACCTAGATACATTCCTGAAGTAGTCAGAGAAACGGACCGGGATCGCTCGTGCGGTGGCACCCATTGTGCAAGAACTGTGTGAATGGAAGGGAAAATGAAGCCTTGAGCAATGCCAACAAGAAGGCGAGCGACGACTAATATGTTGATTCGGTTTGGGTCCAATGGAACTAAGGCACATGTAGACGACCATAACAGAAATGATAAAAGCAGGATACGCCGACCACCTAGACTCTGCGCAGCCCATCCACCAGGGATTTGTGAAATAACATAACCGTAGTAGAAGGTTGAGAGTATCATACCCTTGCTAGATTGATTGATACCAATGGAATCGGCAGCAACAGTGTAAGCAATTGAAAAGCCCATGCGCTCAACGTAGCAAACATTTGTACAGAAGAATGTCAGAATAACAATCAAGTACCGCTTGGGAAATTTCATTCTTTGCTTGTTTTAGACACGCTCATTGGATCATCTTTTGCTTGAGAAAAAATAGCAAGTTGGCTGCTTAAATATATAGGATTCCATTCTTGTAGCAAGTGGGCCTTTTAAGTAAGGTACTCTTATTGAAAATTGAAAAATCCTGGGAAAAGTGAGAGCAATAGATTATATTGTTAATCATCATAAAATAAAATTTTAACCAATGTTTCTAACTAAATATCATAGAAATCATTGTGTCTATTGTCGCCAAAGGCATGGCATCAAGCATTTATTTGAGTGTAGTTATTTCAGTTTCTTTTCATTAATTGGTTCATTTAATTTATTATTTATATATTTAAAATATGTCTATAGTGATGGTCCAAATATGTTGCTTTTTTTACTATCTTATAGGATAGTTTATGTCTTGGCATTGCTCAGTTTCTTGGGATTTCATTTTGAACTTGTATTAAGCTGATCCTATGGTGAATCTCTCTACTTCTCCACTAGACTAGGTAATAAGAAATATAAAAATAGTTGCTCTAAAACACATCAAAAAAAACTTTAGCTTTTTTTCAGTTTTAATATTATGATTGCAAGGTAAATGAATAATTTCTTTGAGTGCAGAGCGACTACTAAAGTTTGGGAAAGTCATCTCTTTGTGTCTGTGTTAAGGCCTCTGTTTTTTTTTTTTAATTTGATATTTGTGTTCTTTGTTCTATTTTATCTTACATTGTTAGATATTGACTTGTTAGTACTTCTGATTTTAATTAAAAATCGACATTAAAAATCTACTTATTAGAATCAAATTCAAATTGTTTGTTGATTTTCTATGTTTCTAATTGATTGGTGAAATTCTTGAGTTATTTTGATCATTTCATTATCAATCGATTTAAACTCGAGTATGATTTACATTTAAAGAAAGTTGATAGCTTCATTGGTAACTCGTGATGTGCGATCTTCAATTTATATAAAATTATATCATGTATCATATTAGTTGCATTACGACATCTTGACCCTGAGTTGTTCTAAGTTGCATCAACATGTCACTTAAAATGGAATAAACTATCAAGGTAACTTAAAAAATCATAAAATAAAGAAATTTTAATTAACTTTTAAGAATCAATTGATCTAATTATTGAACAAATAAAACCAATTGAGTAATGACCTTTAGACTCTAAGGTTGACCTCCATAATTCAAGTTTACCTTCAGCTCTCTCTCTAATCTTATCAACAAGAAGAATATCATCAGCAAAAAGCATATACCAAGGTACATCCTCTTGTAAATGTCTAGCAAGAACATCCATGACTGAAGCAAAAAGATATGGGCTTAAAGCTCATATATGTGAACCTAAAGTAGATTCCTATTACAATAATAAACCAATTCATTTGAATATTAAATCTAGCAAGAGAGAGGAACCATCTTAATAGAAAAATTAGGGGCTTTAACAATAGAATTTATAAACATCAAATTGCAACGTAGATGATGACATAGCTAGAAAAATTACTAAATGCAGACAAGTTAGAAGTTGAAGTATCTATTTATGATAATTAAATTGATCATAAAATATTTAGGGAATAGTTACTAAATGTAGACAATTTCTTTGAATGACACACCATGTATGATGAACAATAAGTATTTTTTGTCAAAAAGAAACTAATTGGTCATGTAAAAATTTATTGGATAAGCCATCAATTAAAAAGGTGTTCGAGGCATTTGCCTTGAGGCCCACCTTGACTTGAGGCGGAACTCTGGTGCGTTGAGGCCTAAGCCTCACCCGAACGATATTTTTATATGGGGCATACGCGTTGAGGCGGAACTCCTCAAGGTTGTTTGAGGCACCGTCTCGTTCTATTTAATTTTTTTATATAATTATATGAAACTGTGAATATAAGTTTTAGGGCGTAGCTGTTTCGACTTCGGCTGCAACGATGTAACGATCTTTCTCCCTTTCGAGCTCTACTTCGACTTCGCTTGTTTTATGTGAAGTAGAGTTATGAACGAGCCGATCCCCCGTCACAGTGAAGGTAATGAACTTTCTTCGATTTCGACCGCAGTGTCAGCTTTGCCTGCTTCGTGTGAAGTAGAGTTTCGAAGGAAGCGTGCACTCTGTCGGCTTCATTTTCTTCCAGCTCTGCATCAGCTTCGCCTATTTCATGTGAAGAAGAGTTTCGAAAGAATCTACCGACTTTAACGTAATGATCTTTCTTTCGTGGACTATAAGTAAAATCTCAAATACTTGATTAAAATATATAACAATCAATAATAGGAGCCAAGCTATTGCATGTGATGCAATCTTCATATTTCTTATTGTTATGGCTTCTTAGTTATATTGCCTTTGATGATTCAACAATTTGAAACCATAAGGATTTCTAATTAAGTGTATTTTTATGTTCTCTTCTTATTTCCTATTATTTTTCAGTATATTGTACCCTAGCTTATATTGGTACAAGAGTTTTCTTGTTGCTTTGCTCCTATTTTCATTATTTTCATTTTACACTCAGTTCATCAAATTTATTGCATTTGAATTTAAATCAAATTTCTATGATTGTTGATATGATAGATTTTTTTTATTGGATATATAAAATTAAGAATCTATTTCATTACTACATAATGAGTAATCAAGAGTATATTAAATATGTGAAGACTAAGTCAGTATTGCTAAGATATTTTGACTAAAAGTTTAGCAAAATATAAATAATTATTTTGAAATTCTATTATAACTTTTTTGGTATTTTATTTTCCCGTTTGAGGCTTATGCCTCACCTTGATTCCCGATTTTGCCTTTTTAAACATTAGGATGAGCATATAAAAACAAGGATAGAGATTAGACAGTGAGCTTCATATGAACTGAAATGAAAAAACTTATAAAAGAAAATTATTTATTTTGTAATATTGGGAGGATCGCTTATTTGATGAATTTTATTCATTAAAGCAAAGCATCAAAATTGTCATTGAAAACATGAATAAATTTGAAAAAAATATTGTTGTGTTATTAAATCATTAAAGATTGTGAAATCACTCACTAGATTTAGGATTGGTTTGAGACCCAATATAAAAAAAGATATAACACCTCACCATTTTTCAACATATGAGCTTGCTTCTCAACTTGAATTAGACTTAGAACAAATATTAAAATTTTCTGTGCCTAACATATTTAAATAGTGCACATTTTACATATAAATGTGAAAGGAGAAGACATTGAAATTAATAATTTTGAAAGTGCTTTTGAGGACACTTCAATTGAAAATTCTTTGAGCAACATGCTTTAGAAAAAGTGAATATACAAGAACATGTGATCTTGCCTAGGGCTGCAAGCGAACCAAACGTTCGTCGAGCTACTCGTTGTTCGGTTCGATTAAAGCTCGTTTGCGATCGTTTAATTAACTAAACAAACAAACTTGAACAATATTTTAAATACTCGATTCTTAAATAAACAAACTTGAACACTAATGTGTTCGGCTCATTTATGTTCGGAACAACATCATTTGAAGTTCGTGAACAAGCTCGACATTAAGCTCGATAAGAAGCTCGATAAAAGCTTGATTTATGTTCGATTTTGAACTCGTGAATAAGCTCGATAAAAATAATTAATATTTGACTATAGAATTAATAAATATAAATAATCATTATCTTTATTACATAGACAATTACTTTTATTATAAATGTGTTTGTTCATAGATATGTTCATGAACGTGTTTGTTTGATAGTTAAAAAAACTCTTTAAATATGTTCGCGAACAAGCTCGATAAACACTAAACGAACAAACATGAACTGAACATGAACCAAACATGAACACTCCTTAATTTAAATGAACCAAACATGAACATAAACGCTAAAGCTCGAACAAACATGAACAAAACTTGAACAAGCTGATATTAAATGAACACGAACATGAACACTCACATACTCGGCTCGGCTCGGTTCGTTTGCAGCCCTAATATTCTTGCCTAAATAGTTGTAAAGTTTCATGTGGTGCCTAAAATGACTTTGTCTGATGATGCTAATCAGGAATTTGCGATATGAACTTGCTAATGAATTACTACCAAGAAAGATATATAACATGTTTTTGATTTAATTCATACAACATCATTGCCTATCTACATCATTACAAGAAAGATGCAGAAAAAAAAATTGAACTAAAGAGACAAATTGATTATTTACTTAAGAAGAGATTTATAAGGGAAGTCACGACTCCTTATGTTATAATAACTTTACTTACACTTAAGAAAGATGGTAAATAGTGTATGTGTGTGGATAGATGGCAGAGCAATTAATAAAATCATGATTAAATATATTTTTCTTTAATCATGCTTAGATGATATGCTAGGTAGGTATTAATAATGATGCAATGATATTTTCTAAGATTGATATGAGAAATGGGTACAATCAAATTAAAAAAGAGGAAGGTGAAGAATGAAAATCTATTTTTAAAATTGCTCTTCAAATTACATCAGAGTTTGAAAAAAATGTTATAATTTTATATTTCTAAGAGAGTTATCACATATTTAGAGAGAGCATCATTTTATCAAGTAATCAAGTTCATTAGGCTGAACAATTGCATCAAAGGTTAGTAATACTACAATAATAGACATTAGGGGAAAATCAATTCATACATCTAGGTCTAAAATTTTTGCTAAAGCATGTTCTAAGTGTGATCAATTAATCATTACACTAGAATTATACCAATAGAAATTTACATATAAATGAAAGAGGGGGATGACGAAATGAATGATTCTGATAAAGCCCATGCGTTTGATAAAGAAATTAATGATTTTGAGCATGCTATAATTGGTAAGTCTTTCAATACCATGCATTACAACATAGCTTCTCCTAAAATTTAATCTAATTGGAAAAAATCTATAATTTCCAAAACAATTTAAAGCGTGGGAAGAAGCTTGGCAAACTTATAAATTATAATTGATGGTGAGAGTTGTCAGAATGTAGTGTCTAAGTTTGTTTTAAACTGCATGAGCTTGAAACCTGAACAACATTCATAAGACTATAATAATGTAAAGTAGCTTGGTAGATAAAACTGTTATAGCTGTGTCTCAAATGTATCTAGTTTTGATTAAATTGGCTACCTATATGGATAGAATATGGTGTGAAGTATTGTCCATGGATGTTGCTCATGTTAATTTGAGTAATCTTGGTTATATGATTTA